AAGCATTAGAATTGGAGGAAAATATGTTCTTCCCCCACAAGGTCCCCAATTTACCCAGAAGAAAAGGTAACTTACTGAGGAAGAATTTGATTTGGAATAATATTTGTGTCCTGATGTCCTGTATGATCATGAAATGAGACCAAACGAAGGAAATTTGACTACTCTCATGTGTGTGTAAATCCTGGTGCATTGTATGTGCTCAGTGTACATTTGCCAAATGAGAAAACCAAACCAGTAAAATTCACCTGTGTCTCCCCCAATTTGGTCACAGAAATTTCAATTAGCTTGTTAAGACCAGTACACACATCAATGTATACTAGGTCACACCTAAGGACCCACCTTGATGGCACATGTAGGTCCATAGGCAGAGAAAAGATAGGGAAAGGAAAGATTTGGTGAACTAAGCATGTCCTTAGGGGCTAAAGAGGAGATTGGAAGTGTAGAGTGGGTTCTAAGGGCTACCTTGGCAAAGAAGCTGGCACTGCAGCCATAGCGTTGAGACCTGGGGAATCCTAGGACCTTCGTCATGTTCTTCCATAATGCATTACTCCTCGAGCTTTTTCATTTGTTCTTGTTTCCATCACGATTAATAGTAAAGTTCATAAAAGGCAAAGACCTGTGAGTTTATCTTTGGAAGCATCCAGAAGGAGACGAAGGAGAGAGATTCCACCAGGCTTGGGGAGAGGGACACGCAGGGATAGATTGGCAAGGAAAAGAGGGGACCGCACAAGCTGGTCTGAGCCTTCCATGGTCATGTGGCTTCACAAGGGTGGGACTCATGAGCAGTTATAAAATGTGACGATTTAACTTATTTAAATAAACTAGATCTATACAGCGGGCTCGTGAAATAGCAGTTCCATCCAGATAATGAGCACAGGGGTGGAGAAGTTCAATTCTGCAAACTGAAGCAAGGGTTCTATCATACTGAACCCCAGATCTTCTCATCCAGCAGGCAGCATCCAGATGCAAATTAGCTATAAAACCATCAATTAATGAATCAGACACAGTTTACATTACATAGACCCCTATTGGTTATAACACACTTGGGAATTAGTAATGCCTAGTGAAAATAATAATTACTGAGGCTCTCTCTTTTTAAAAATTCTTTTGATCTTTGGTGTTTTAGTTTACTCAGGTATATGCTACATGTAAAACTGCAAGATCCTGGTCAAGGGTGATAAGAGAAGGGCAAACAAAGCTGCATTCAGGTTTGGTTTTAAAGCATTTTTTAAAACCAATTTATTATTTTTAGCTTGTGATAACAAGGCCAACTTTAAGCTATTACAAACATCTTTATTTCTAAAAATTTTAGAGGAAAAACCGCTTTGTTATTTTGAGTCTGAAATTCTCCACTCCAAATTCTTTCTTTCCTAAAGAAACAATTGTTACTGTAACACAATTTCGTGTGTTTTTTTTTTTTTTTTCTCAAAAACACAACTTTCATGTTTTATAGGAGGACAAAGCGTTTTTAATTCAACATCTCATCTTGGAATTTCCCTTTTCTGAGAAACCCTCCACATCTCCATTCTGTGGTTGGTCCTATGGCAGGGGGTGGTTATCAAGTATTTACATGTTGGCCACCCCCTCTGGGATAGATTTCACCCTCTTAAAGGGCAGGGTCTGTGTCTTGTTTACTATTTACATTACACCAAACACAACATAGACCTTCAATAAATACTGGTTAAATGAGTGAATTGGAAAAAAGGGAAAAGAAGCAGATGAGGTGTTGAAGGAGTCTGGAAGGTGTTGCAGGAGTTGGAAGAGCCTACTAGGCCAAACCAGGACATAAGGAATGAATAGGACCAAGTGGATTGAAGAGGGGCAGGGGTGAGAAGGAGGGAAAAAAGGAGAGAGTAAAAAGAGTTCCAGACAGATGTAATATTAATAGCATATCAGAACCCAAGACAAGCAGAATGAGATGCACTCTGTTCTGCTAGAACAGGAATGTGATGTTCTTGAAAACTTCGCATGATAGCAAAATCAAGTTATTAAAGTATCATCATTTCAATAGGAAAAGAGGGTGAAGAAGTTAGAGGCTTGTAGATGCAAAATAATAGATGATTATATATATATATATTTTTTTTTTCAAAAATTGCAAAGAATGAAAATCTTGAACCAGTGTGGACTTCAACTAGACAGATATCTGCTGGAGGTCTAATTCCATGAAAAAATATATCGACTGATAAATGGTTATAAAAGCTTAATAATAATTTCATTTTTCATAAGCTGGAACAAGCAATAAAGGGGCCAGACACTGTGAATTTAACAGTGATGGATAGGAACAGGGCAGTGTTAAGGAAGTGGGGTGACAACTAGAATAGCATAGTGATAAGGAAGGGGTGTGACCTTTCCTTGAGTTCTCCCCTCTCTCCCTCTCTCACATTCCCCTGTCTTCCTTCAATGCTTACTGTGTGTTCAGGGCCAGAGATACAAGATGAAGATTAGTAACATTCCATTCATTTATTTTCTCAAGGATCTCACAGGTGAGAGGGAAAATAGCTAGCAAACATAACTAGAAAGTAATATTAGAAATGATATTGATGGGTACAAACTGTGAAATTATACACAAGAAGTTATGAGTACATGGTGGCATTAGCTAGGGGGCTGGTTCCACTTGAAGTTGTCTGTTAGAATGTGTAGGGGAGTTTGTACTTCAACTAGGTGAGATACACAAAGGGCTTTTCAAGAATTGCAGGTAGAGGGGATAGTTTGGGGAGAGGCATGAGGATGTGAAATTGTGTCATGGCACTTCATTGATTGTTTCCTTTGCTGTTCAGAAGCTTTTTAGTTTGACATGATCCAATCTGTCCATTTTTGCTTTTCTTGGCTGTGGTTTTGAGGTCTTACTCAGAAATCTTTGTCCAGATCAATGTCCGGAAATGTTCCTCACTGTTTCCCCAATGTTTCTGGTGATTTCATAATTTAAGTTCCTAGATTTAAGTCTTTAATCATTTTGATTTAATTTTTGTATATGGGAAGAGATAGGGTCTAGTTTTATTCTTCTGCATATGGATATCCACTTTCCCCACCACCATTTATTGAAGAGACTGTCCTTTCCCCAATATATGTTCATGGCACTTTTGTTGAAAATGAGTTGACTGTAAATGCTTGGACTTATTTCTAGGTTGTCCATTCTATTCCATTGGTCTTTATGTCCAGACAGAATAATTTTAAATGAAGGAATCAAATTATTAGATTTGCATTTTAGCTTATAGCATTGACTGAGTGTTTAATGCTGTGGAAAGGAATACTGAACATAATAAAAATACAATCTACCTTACTTAGCTTTGAAAACAGTAGATTTTGAAAGGTTCAGAAAAAGAAATGATCTTATAGCTTCAGATGTGAAAAGCGAGAACTTGTTAGGAGATGCTGCAAGATGAAACTCTTAATATATTTATGTATTCATTTATTCAACAACATTTTGTCGAGTAACAACTATGTGTCAGGGGCTGCACTAGGTTCTAGGAATGGAAGTATGAACAAAACAGCTGTGATCTCTGCTCTTATGGAGCTTTTAGTCTAGAGCTTATAGTCATAGCCCATTATTTGACTGTGAAATGAATTCATGGATTCTGTCCATGAGAAAGAGGAGGAGGAGGGGAGAAGAAGAAAGAACATAGCATGGCATAGAGCAGTGTAGAGCAGAAAATATTGGGGTGCATTCACATGTTGGGATTAAGAACTGCTTCATTAAGCTGTTCTTTCTGTGAGATTTGTGTGTGAACACGTGCACTGGGTCATGATGTAAGACGTGCATGGCTCACCATGGGTCACAGTAGAAAGAGTTTGAGAAGCTGCTAGTTCCAGGCATATCACTTGGATGGATTCTTCTGCTGAAATTCATTCAAGGTACAACTCAAGTCCCCTCATCTCTAGGAGCCATGTCAGTTGACACCATGCCACCAGGCTCTTTCTCTTCTGCTTCTGGTACCTCCTTTCTCTTCTATTCTTTTGGTACTTCCCTAATGGGTTTCTTACAGCTATTTCCCTTTGTGTGGGAAAGGTTAATAATTATTTAATGAATACAATCATGTTTATTGAGACCCTACATCACGTTAAACACTGATGATCTAAAGGTGCTTTGAAACAAATCAGACTCCCTAGCAAAATAGAGTTTATAATCTAGCAGGGGAGACAAACATCAATGAAAAAATTACACAAAGAAACACATAATTATAAACTGTGATAAGTGATAACTGAGAGAAGTTCAGATTGCCAGGAGAGCGTAAAAGTGGTGTTTTTATGGGTGGAGATGGGGTGATTCTGAACAAGCTGGGGTGGGAGGGTGTGGGTCAGAGAAGATGTATTCATTTTCTAGGGCTGCTGTGACAAATTAACACAAACCTGATAGCTTAAAGCTCCTGAAATGTATTCTCTCACAGATCTGGAAGCTAGAAGTCCATGGTCAAGTTGCTGGCAGGGCCGCAGCTACGCTCTCTCTGAGGGCTCGAGGGGAGAGGCCTCTTCCTGGCTTCTGGCGGTTGCCAGCGATTTTTGTCTTTTCTTACCTGGTGATTGCATCACTCAACTTTCTCCCTCGGTTGTCACATGGCCTTTGTTTCTCTGTGTATTTCTGTGTGTCCTGTCCTCTTTTTATAAGGATATCAGTCATTAGATTTAGGGCCTATCCTAATTCAGTATGATCTCAACTTAATTATATCTTCAAAGATCCCGTTTCTAAGTAAGATTGCATTCTGACGTTCCAGATGGACATGAGTTTGGAGGGGCGGCGCTATTCAATCCACTAAGAAGGGTTTTCTGAGCTAAGAGCTGACAGCTAAAGAGGGAAAAGGGAGATTAGGCACAGCGAGGTTTGGGGTGGAGAGTGGGCCAGAGAGAGGGCAGAGTGTGATTTGGAAGGAAGGTGGAAGAGGAATGCAAGTGGGGTGGGTGACTCAGGGACAGAGAGGCAGAGTGTGGTGTAAATCATCATCCCCTTGTGAGGTCCGGATCATGCAGGGCCTGATCTGCAGCGCTAAGGTGCTGGGTTTTAGGATGAAGAACAACGGGAAGCTGCTGACAGTTTTAGAATGGGCCAGGTTTGCATCTTACCTGTCCAGCTGGCCTTGACAGTGAGAATGCTTTTCCCCGGTGGACGCTGAGGATTATTTCTGTGTTCTTGACAAACCTCTGCTCTTCTTTTAGGTCCTGGCTGAACAGACCTCCCAGGCAAAAATCCTCCCTGATGTTCCTATTCTTTCCCCCCTAAATCCCTGGATGGGTATCGCATCACAGGACCCCGCAGAACTCTGTTGTTTTCTCCACGCCAGGACCTAGTGCACTGTATTGAAATTGACTTGTCTCTCTTTTTTTTATAAACTGAAAGTGTGAATGTCTCCAGGGCAAAAAGTTGCTGAGCCCTGATGCTTACCACATAGTTTAGCAGTAAATATTTAGTGAGAGGATAAAGGAAGGAAGGATTGGAGAGGGCAAGATCATCCGTCATAGGGAGGCAAAGACATCCCTCCCCAAAGCAGAAAATGGCCAAGGAAACCTTGTATTTGTTTTAACGTCTGTCTTGGTAGGACATCTTCTCCTGTCTTCCGGAAAACCTGTGGCCAAAATCACCTCTTGCCTCCAATCCCAGGCCATGCGAGCCGAGAGAGGAAGGTCGTTTCTGATGGAGCCACTTCAGTCCACTTTGCGGGTTAATAGATGCCCAATGCAGCTTGGGAGATGGAGAGGAGCTCATCACTCCCTAAATTAGGAGCTGAAAATGAACTGTGTTACCATCCACTGGCTTATTGTCTTTCAGTCATGCCTCTGCTGAGGATCTTTTAGTTTTTCATTTTTTAGATCCAACTTAGGATATATAAGCTGGCCTCATGTTCCTCTTTGGAGTTTATTGATATGCAGGACTACTGCGTTTCCCTCCAGAAAATTCTCCTACACCTCCCCCTCAGCAGCAGCCTTCCCTCCTGGTGGGATGAAAACGGCGTTTCATTTCATCCATGTCTGTAAGGCAGATGCAAAGAAATCAACCGGACGCCAAAGTCAGTGTGACTCACTGGGCACCAGGCAGAGGCCGGGGGATTGTCGCTGGCTCCGTGGGTGGACAGGGAGGCAAAAGGCTGAGAAATAAAAATTATCAGGCATGGAAGCTGTGAAAAGTGTTTTTCAAGATGAAGGCACATAGCACACCAGAGCTATTAGCAAAGGAGACTCTGGTGTCTTGTGAAGACAGTAAAAATGTCCTTTTGGCGTCCGGGAGTCTTAGAGATCTGATTCCACCCTAGAGATTCCAGCTTGGCCTCTTAGTCCCCTCAGAGGCTTCCAGCAGTGGGTGCAGGGAAAGTGACAGGAGAGCTGAGAGCCAGCCCCTGGCACGCACCTCGAGGCCCTTTCCATCTGCACGAGCGGCTGAGCTCTGTGCGAAGGGCCTGGTTATGCCACAGACAGCTTAGGGCTCTGAGGGTCCAAGATGCAAGTAGCTTGAACACGGCCATTTATTCATCCTCCAAGTACATGCTGCCGCGTTCTCTGTGCCAGGCTCTGCACCGGGCATGGGGATACGATGGTTAACATGATGGACAAAATCCCTGCCCTCTAAAAGCTTCCAAGGATAGATAACTGGTATCCACAAAATAAAAATGTGATTTTGGGGAGTGATTGGTACCATGGAAACAATACATGCTGTGAAGTGATTAAGACTGACGAGAGGTCTATTTTAGATGCTGCGGTCAGGGAAAGACTCCTGGCAGAGCTGGCATTTGAGCTGAGGATGCTTGAAGAGAAGGAGCCAGGCATGAGGATGTCTAGGAAAGATGTTTCGGGCGGGGAGAGCATAAGTGTAAAATGTGCTCGGTTGCAATAAGCTTGGCATGCTTAAGGGGTAGAAAGAAGACCGGTGTGGCTAGAGCATCTTGAAAAAGGGGTCACAGAAACCCCTCAGTTAGGGTTTGAGCAGAGAAGCAGAAACACTGCAAATTATATAGACAAGGAATTTATTCCAGAGGCTTGACCTTGCACAATCGTCGAGAACTAATTAAACAGTCTACACGAGACTGCTGCTTCTACATCTGGTGCTGGGCCTAAAGTCAGCGGAACAGGCAGTTCGGAAGAAAGGCAGACGTGAAGTTGGGGAGAGCAGTGACGTGAGTGACCAGAAGGAGAAGGCTGGCAGCTTTGCCGTGGAGTTGCACACACTGGCCTGGAATTTGGAGTAACAAAGGATGGTGATCCAGGAGGAGTTAGAGTTGCTGCTGCCGCGTCACCAAAGTGAGGCAGCAGGACAGCGACAAAGTGTGCGTGAGCCGTAATAGCACCTGGGCTCTACACCAGCCATCGGTGTGGGAAAAAAAGCCGCTATTTTTATTTTTTCCCTCCTGCCTTCCAAATCTGTGCAAAATGCCTCTTGTGGTCAATGTATCCTGAAGCTATGCAGGGAATTCCTGGCATTCTGGGAAGCTTGTTCTAGCTTGGCTGGGTCAACAGAGTCCAAAGCCCTCAATCTCCCTTCTTTGTCAAGTTGGCATCCATTTATTTGTCTTTTAGCCATTTTTAACCTCTCCATAAAGATAATGGCAGACGATTATTTCCATCTAAAGTAGAAGCAGCTATTGTTTATATTCAACTGCAAGCACCCTAAGCCTCTCTTCCAGAAAAGGTACGAAGTCCTTTTACCCATCTTTGGGTGATGTCCGTTCTTTTTCCAGTTAAGTCACATTCCTCCTTTGATATCCTGTAGTGCAATATAAGATTAATTACCATGAAATACATTTTATGTTAGATAGTAGAAAGATGGGAGAAGGAAAGAAAAATAGTTAATATATATGCAAATGTATTCATATCAAAATAAGGAAGAAATACTTACAACTATTACGGTCCCTGTTTCTGCAACTTGTTATGTGATTGTAGCTCATATTTATAACTTCCTTTTGCTATGTAAATTCTATACTCCCTTTGTCCTCAGAAAGCAGGCTGGCTCCTTGTGGTTCTGTGCCTGCCTGGTTTCTCAGATGTGTGTATGGTATAGCTCAGGTGAAGGGATGTGATGGATCCTTTTATATCTTAGAGCTTTGTATATAGTAGGTGCTTACTGCATTTGTGCTGCCAACTGGTGACTTCTTTTGTTTTATAGACCCTTCCCATGTTTGTCTGACATCCTCAGTGAGGTTATGGGCTTGTTAGGAAGAGGGACACATAGGACAGATACCATAGGGACACAAAGGACAGATACCTCTGGGTACATGCTGAATTGACACTGAGGATTTAGAAATAGCTGAACATTCAGTTTAGACTGAGATGGGTGATCATAAGAAATATTATCAGAAACACACTGTGCTTACATCAAGTTGGTTTATTAACCACTTCGGTGGTGCCTCGTCTGGATCAAGCATTGTTCCAGCAGCTCTGTGAACCCTATGATACAGAAGAACTGGTCCTTAGCCTTTGGAACCTTCCATGCAGCAGCATGGAAAATTTCAGAGGAACTGTGACAGATGCTAAAGCACAAGCCAAGAACATCTTGGGGATATAGATAGTGGAGAAGATTTACTCTGTGTGAAGAGGTCTTCGAGAAGGTGGGATCACACTTGTGCTCTGAGGGCCCATGTGGGTTCTGAGAGAAGAGATGGGGAAAGGGCATGCTAGGCAGGGTAGACAAGACAGGTGAGTGCTTGAAGGAAGGAGAGAAGCGCAGCATGCCTGATGTTTACGTCCATGGAGTGGCAGAGGAGCACAGAGGGTAGAAAGAGTGAAAACAGTATTTGAGCCCATGCTGTGGATAGACAGGCGCACTGTCTCAGGAATATGAAGCTGTATTGTGCACGTGATGGGGAGCTATGGGTGATCTTAGGGGAAGTGTGCTATGATCAGACCTGTATTGGGCGTATTTCTGCTTCTCTCTACATAATAATTTTCCATGTGCCAGCCAAAATGCCACGCTTGGGGATACAGAGGTAAATAACATATGGTCCCTGCCCTCAAGGAGCTCATAGTGTGTCCACAAACTGTACAGTATAATAGAATGAAAAATACCTGGTTAAAGTCTGGGGAATTGGAGGAAGGAATGGGTAAGCACACCTAGAGAGAGGGCAGGAATCTATTCAACAGTGCAGAAGAGGGAGAAAGAGGCAGAGGGAACATACAGGAGGGCTGTTCATTTATTATTTCATAAACATCTGTGGGGCACCAATAGTGTGCCGGGAATTTTTGGGAATGCTGGAGTCAGAGGTGCATGAGGCAGGCAAGATCTTCTGCCTTCATGGAAATTACATTAGAGAAGAAAGGGACAAACTATAATATGAAGACCAAACACTAACAGTGATAATATCTAACATTTATTGAGCTATTAAAAGTGTGCCAGCACTATTCTAAATGCTTTTTTAGAAAGCATTAGTTAATGCTGAGTTAACTTAAGCTTCATACTAACCTTGTGAGGTAGGTGTTATTATATTATTTTTTCCCCCTTTATAGATGGGAAACTAAGTGTAGAGATACAAGTCAGATGACATGCAGTTGGCGAGTGGAAGGGTTTAAAGCTAGACAGCTTGTGTGGGACAGTTCTCCGGTGGCCTAGGACTGATTCCATCCCCCGATCCCCCACAAATGTATTTCTCTTGTTCACAAGATTTATTCACAAATTTATTTCTCTCGTTCACAAGAATAACTGTAGAATGTGCTGGGAATGTAATATCCAGAGATAAGGAGGGACTGGCTGGAACACGCCAGGCTTTCTGTTCCTGTCCCCTAGTGACAGGACATCCTTCAACATTGATCTCAGTGAGTCCTGTACCCTGGGATATATAAACCAGGGCAGGCTGTTCTCAAGGCCCCTCAGCTGTAGTTGAGACCCCATCTGCCCTGGACAGCTCTTTTGAGTCTTGAGGGACTGGCCCACCCCGAATTCTAGCTTTCTGTTGCCCCTTGCTGCCTACCTGTAAGCAATAACTTCGATTCCTGTAACAACCAGGGCATGGTGAACCTGCTTCACACCTGACTCCAGAGACTAAGATCTTAACAGCAGGGCTGCACTACCTCTTCACGAATAGAATCAAGAAATTTCAGAGAGCAGGAAGTACCATGAAGAAACTGAAACAGGGCAATGGGATAGAGAGTGACCTGAAGGGGTGGGATGGTGTCACTGCAACAGGATGCTTATGGAAGATTGCACCAGAAAGTGATATTTAAGTGTTGGGGAGGATTTGGCCATGAAATCACCCCAGCAGGAGGGTCTAGTGGCTGCCACTGGACCCTTGAGGGTGAGGGAGAGAGAAGCAACAAACACGCAACTTGCCTCCTGGCTGGATGTACAAGTTGAGAGAGGGCTGAGCTAGAGATGCTTTCAAAGGGCACTAGAGCCCAGGTGGCATCAGGAAGGATGCCAGCCGGTGTTGACCTGCTTCCCAGAATTTCTCAGAAGCCTCCCCACACTGGGTAGCTGCCCTGCACCACAGCCTGCCACGAGTCCTCCCAAGCCCCAGCCATTTCTGGCCAATGGTCATTGGCCCAGAGCTCCTGCAGAATGCTTAATGACACACATAGGCAATTTGGTCTTTGAGCAGGTAAATGTGTAATTCTTAGTTCTGCCAGAGCTAAGAGCCAAGTCTCAGGGAGCAAATATGTAAACCCAGGTGTCTTTGGAGTGGGCAAGGCATTAAAGTTTGAGCAGAAGGCTAAGGGGCTCTCTGCCGGTCAGAAGACCAGAAGCCTCTTCTAGAAGCTCGTGTGGGAGGCCAGGTCTTTGGAAGGAACTCTGGCTACGTTTCTGGAAAGCCAGATGGAAAAACAAAATTGTGGTTAGAGCCCTGGATCAGGAATTTGGAGATCTGTTTGCACTGTTTCAGCTTCCAGATTACTGTGTGATCTTGGCCAAGTCATTCTCTCTCTCTGGACCTTATGCTCCTCGGTAAAAATAAAGGCATTGAATTGAGTGAACTTTCATGCTCCTGGCAGGTGCTTTGTTCCTGGGGTTCCAGCACCCAACACGTGGGCTGAACCCTACATAGGGCAACTGCAAAACAGGAGGAGCAATACAAAATGTTTTTCCCAATAATTTGATATTTCAATATTTCAACAAATGCATCCAAGTCACTATCATGGGGAGAAGTCAGGACTTTGTGGGACTTCCTTATTTTTATTTTGAGATTAAGCACGATCTTTTGAAGGTGGTAAAGTACAGACAGAATGATCAGGAATCACTGTCACTGTCACTTTTCAGCACTGAGCATTTGAGGGTGCCAAGCCAGGCTCGCTTGGTCCTGCTCTTGGCCCTCTTCATGTCTGAGGGAGGGGCTCCCACCTGCCTTGCCAGAGTGCTGTTCTTAATAGAGGACTCAAGTTTTTGCCAACAGGTTTAGAAACATGGCACTTAGGGAGGGAACCTGGCTGTGCCACTGGGAGGTTGAGGAATCCCCATCAAATGTTGGCCTCCATTTCCCTCTGAAGCCAGGTTCTGTGCTCGAGACTCAGAATCCAGCCTGAAGAATGAAATTGTGAAGTGCAGACGCTCTTATTCTCAGCGGAGGTGAGAGCAGATGTTTCTACAGATCTTGCGATGCTTGCTGCATTTGTTCTTCCAACTTACAGGCTTCGACACCATCCCTATTTGCAACTTACTGTAATTCTTTAATTGCAAGGACTTACAGCCAACTGGCCACTTGGCTCATAGCCTCAGCCGTAGCAGGCTGGGGGCGGGGTCCGTGGGTACAGCCAGCAGGTCCATCATCAGAGCGTCATTTCTCAGGGAAATGGGAATGGCTGTTTCAAATTTGGGTGCTGCCTCCTTGAACAGAGTGATTTGTCCTCTTCGTCCTTTCCCTGTCTTTTCTTTCCCCCTGAGAGGTTCAGAGTTACCTGCTTCTCGCAGAGAGAAGGGGACAGATTTCTACAAGTAGGGACATAGCAAAGAAAAAGCACAGACTGCCCCATACTGCACCAGCTCAGCACTCTCTCCTCACTCAGGCTCATGAACAGAGTGGCTTGAAGGCAATAAATGGAGTTGAAGATTCAGGACCCCACTCGCACAAGATCCATTTGAGGCCCTAGAGGAAGCCCTAGCCATGTGTTCACATGCACATATCATGTTATTAAAATTTCAAAAATCAAATGTCTTCTCCATAATGGATCAGCCCAGTGTCCCCTTATGTTGGGTGGGTGTTGGTTTGCAGTGGCCCCTGTACCTCTTTGGCACCCAGAAAATGGGACATTGAGATAAAGAACACTTGGTTTGGGGTTAGTGGGATGTATTTATGTGGTGGCAATCACTTCTGTGTGTAATTTTGTCATTGCTGATCATCCTGGTGCAGGATGGTGTACAGTGGCCAGTTGACTGCCTGCTGTCAATTCCCTCTGCTCTGTGACTCGAAGACGGGCCGGGGGCCTGTTGTGATATGAATATGTCCCATAGTACCCGATATTGGAGATACATGGGTAGTGGGAGATAAACACGGTTTGAAATCTACAGAGCCAGAAACTGGTACATGGAACATTCCTCCCATCAGCAGAGGGTGTTAATTTTGTTAGCAGAAGATTGTTTCATCTCCCATCAGTGCCTCATCATCCTGAAAGTTCTCTTATAAAAAATATACTTTATATTGTGGCATGCACAGTTATAAGCAATTGCATTATATTTTTTGGGTGGGAGTGCCTTTGTGAAAGGGAATTGTGGAAAATAGAGTTTCTCACAATTGCCATGATTTTAGGGCACAAACTTGTAGCAGTACTACAAACAGTGAGGACAGCCATAGTAGTTCATATATGATAGGAGATTTAATAAATTTTGACTATAAGCATACACATTTATATGACATTACCAGTACTGGGTTGTGAAGCTAAAAGGCACTTTCTATTTATTTATAAACTATTTATAAAATGTTTTGATCCATTAGAGAAAAGCCTAATTATCCCTCTATTCATTCTTTAGAATAATACTACGACATTCTTGTCATATGGAGAACTTACTAAAAAAATGCCACCAAAATTTTAGGGATTGAAAGAAGCATTGCAGAAGTGGTCAGTTCATAAAAATATTGGGCTAGTTCTCTGATGTTGTGGTGGTGTTTTGTTTAACTTTATTTTTTTACATTTTAAAATTCAAATTTAGACCTAATTTTACATTCGCTTTCCTAAAGAGTGTGCAAACTGCACAAGCTGCAGACTCCATAAAGTGTGCACCTGTCCCACCCTCAGTTGTGGGCACAGAGGCCTCCCACAGTAGCCTGCAGCCCAGGCCTGCTACTAGCAAATCCCAGTGAATGTGCAGTAGCCGCTTCGCTTTCCTTCCTCAGGTCTGCAGAGACGGGGGGCTGTACCATTCTCAGATTGGGGCTGGAGCTCGGTGTGACTGCTGGGGTTTCCTGCTATTTCTGGAGCCTCCGTGCATACTGCTTAGGGCTGGATCCAGCAGCACAGAGGCAAACCGTAAGTGCTTGGAAGGTAGCAGCCCTTCTCCCTGCTCCCCCTGGCAGCAGCCCCCTACTCTACTCTAATAATCCCTTGAGTATTATTATTAGCAGAAGAGTAGTAAACCGTGGGTTCTGTCTATGTGGCAACCATACTGGTGTGTAAATTTGTTTACCTGCAGCACCTGGTCCTGTACCTAGTGTATAGCAGGTACTCATCAGATTGCAATTAAATGAGTAAAATGGTGAGTATTTTGATTTTGAGTGCTTACTTGGTGTCAGGCAATATGAAAAATGCTCTTCATACACCATTTCATTTAAACCTCATAATAATCCTATGACAGAGGCAACGAAAGTGTCCTGTGTCACAGATGAGTAAACTGAGTCAGGTGGAAGTTACATTGCCAAAGGTCCCACAGGAAGTAGGGGCAGGTTCTGAATGGTACTCAGTTTTCTCACCTCCTTCTAAGTCTAGCGAATTCCTCTCCTCTGCTTCCTCCCCACCCCTAGCCAAATCCCAGCCCATTTGGTTGGAGCCTGGGGGTCCTAACTGCCATTCTCCGGGCTAGTCCCAGAGCCTGGCCGCCTGCAGAGACAGGTGTTCTGGAATGAGAATAGAACAGCCAGCTCCCAGGTGTTCCGCCATTGGCTGGGCTTGCTATCTGGCCCGCCTCATTTGTTTGCTGGATATGGCTTCTGAAACTAGGGTGCACCTGGCTGCCAACACTGAACCCACAGAGCGTGGCTGGGTTGTCCTGCATAACAGACTCGCACCGCCTTGCCCCCTTCCCCTGGTGTTGGGGGGTGGTTTTTGTCATATCCAGCTTTCCCCCTCCACCCTGCCTGTAGACTGCATCTTTAAAAGATGTTCATAACTTATACCCATATAAACATTCTCAATGTTTTGTACATGCCTCCTCCTGTAGACCAGGAACTCCCAGAGGCTAGGACTGTAGGAAGTGTCCCTCCATCCATGTGCCCTGCATGGAATCCCATATGTTTAGATAGCAGTTTCATAGGATGGTTCCAATCCAAGTTCCACCTGTTACTAGCCATTGGTCTTAGGCAAATATTAATAACTTGACCTGCATGTCCTCAATTTCTTCATCTATTAATATAAAGCAGGAGGTGATAATGGTTTATATTTAATAAGGTTGCCATGAGGATTAACTTAGTCAACATATACAAAGACATAAAGGGTGGCCAGCACAGAGAAGCTCTAGATCAGTGTGAGTCATTATTATACACAGTGATCATAGGCACCTTCTTTCCTTCCTTTTTAGGATGTTAATAGTCCACATAACATATTTTAATATGAAACCATCAGTTGACTGGTGTTTTCTTCTGATTGTTCCTTATGGGTAAGTTCTTCTTTTTTATTTTTTTTTGTCGCAATAACATTTTATAAACCCCCTCACATTATGAGTAGGTAAGATGCTTGTGGCTTTTAACCTGGTTTGGGTTACAGACATCTTCAATAGTCTGATGAAAATTATGGCTGCCTCTTCTCTGCAAATGCACACGGGCCCACAGATGCAGAGTATAACCTACTGATTTTAGGGGTTTTACTGCCAGCAAGAGCTCTATGGTCAAGATCTGGCCTGACTCTAGATATGGCTCTGTCTCCAACGTGCTGTGTGTTACTTAATAAGCAACTGTTCCTCTCTGGGCTTCTGCACAATAAGGGACTCTAGGGAATCCATGGATTCTTCTAGCAGAGACAACCGCCCCCCCCCTTATCCTCTGCTTTGCCAAGCAATAATTCCCTTCTAAGTTCCATTAGATCAGAGGGAAAGGGGGAAAAAAAACCCAACCTGATCACATTACAGCAAAAAGCTTTCTCTCCTCTTTATAGTGCCTTTTAAATGTGATAGACAATCATGAACCGAAACTTTTCAAAAGAAGACAGAATAATGGCCAGCAAACATATAAAAAAGTGCTCAACATCTCTAACCATTAGGGAAATGCAAATCAAAACCACAAAGAGATATCCCCTAACTCCAGGAAGAATGGCCTTTATCAAAAAGGCCATTGACTTGGCTAAAAGAACCGCCAGGTGGGATGGGAAGTGCAGCCTGCACTCTTACCTGCCATGGCTGGAACCAGGCTCCCTTGGTTCTCAGGTGTCAAAAGTCAAAGGAGGCACCGCTGCATTCACCTCCCTGCAAAACAGACTGGGAGGTGTCAGCGGCTGCTCTGTGGGAGGGCAATCAAGGATCTGCTCTCCCTATTCTCTGTCCCTTGGCCCCCTGAGAATCATGGACAGCTGGGGGGCTGAGGATGTTCCAGAGTACAAGGCAGTAAGGCCAAGTTACAAAAGGTCACATATTTTATGCACTTTCCCCCCAGTACCAACATGTGGAGAAGCAGGATGACAGTGTAGGAGGTGGAGGCAGAGGAAGGAGTTTATATAGAGAGCTGACCCACGGAAAGGAGTCTTCAGGCTCATGCAGCCTGAGCTAGCTTCAGCTAGGTAAGCACATGTCAGAGGACAGGCAGCCAGTGTTTACCGTCTGCTTTGTGCATGCAAGCTTGAGGCTCAATGGGTCTTTGACAATAATAAGGGCAACAGCAATAGCAGCCAATGTTTATTGAGTATTTGTGTGCAAAGCACTAGCAAAATGATCGACATGGGTTATCTCATTTTTTATTCTCTCAGCAGTCCTGGGAAGTTCATTCTGTTATGTGTCCAATTTTGCAGACAAAGAACCTAAGAAATAGTGTACGTACTTTGGCTATGGTCAGATGGCTGGCAGGTTGTGGAACCAGAATTTCACCCACATCTCTCTGATTCTAGAATCCTTTACTACAGTAGTTCATATGAGCTCTAGATGAGGCGACTAAGGGTTAGCGTAGTAACACAGGGAAAGAGGAACCAGCATTTACTTAGAACCTACTTGACCAGTGCCGTTCTCTACTCAGTGCTTAGCATCTGTTATTGTGTGTAATTCCCAGAAAAACCACATGAAGGAGGTATTTCTATTTTGGCTTTACAGATGAGGCTCCCAAGGCTCAGAGAGGTTAAGAAAGTTTACCAGAGTCACAGAGCAAGAATCCAGAGAATCCTACAGAGTCACAGAGAATCCTACATGGCATTCTCACCAAGGGCAAAGTTGCTCTTCTGCAAATTCCTTCCTTTAGAGCCAGATTGATAGGCATGGAAAAGGTAGGTATTGGGTGTTAGGGAAATTAAAGTTATAAGAGTGACATGAGAGGACTCAGTGTGGAGCTCAGAGCTCACTGGGCAGGGAGATGAGCAGGCAGGAAGGACAGGGACCTCCCCAGCTGAGGGAGCCTGAGGTGAGGGAAGTGAAGAGCACACCTATCCAGGATCAACGGCCTTCCTGCTGTCACAAGAAAAGGAGGTGACCAGGACGGAGCACAGTGAAGGGCATTCTAGGGTAGGGATACATGCATTCCTAGGTAGGACTAGCTCCAGCTAAAGGAGAGCTCTGCTGTCCAGTTCATTTCTCAGCTATTTTCTGAGTGGCTAATGTTGGGCAATGCAGTGCCCTGAGCAGAGAATGGGTGGGAGACACTGGCATTGCTCCTGCTACCTGGAACTTGCAGTCTAGCAGGGATGACAAAGATTCAGTAATAACCCAATTAGTATTAATCCAATGATTATGCAGATGAATTTAGCATCATAAATTTAGATAATTGACATTAAAGAAAGGGAACATGGTTCCACAAGAGCAAAGAATCAGGACCAGGTGTCCCTTAGGAACTGGAGCTTAATCAGAGATGGGAAAGATTGGTAGGCGTTTCCCAAGTAAGGCTTGATCAGAGGGACCATGACGTGCAAAGGCCCTGTAGTGGTGTTACTCTCCAGGAACTGAATAAAGATCAGAGCAACTGGAAATTGAAGGGTGTGATGTGAGGTGTGGTGGTGAGCAGGGGCCAGTTCTTGCAGGACTTTGAGCTTCCTGTGTAGTATTTCAGTATTCAAGAGAATATGGGAGCCTACTGCCAAGTTTCAAGCATGGGTAAGGATAGGGGATGGTGGCTTAAGTTCAATGGCAGGCTACGAGGCAGGATATCTTAGAAGATGTGGGATGTGGCAGGTTACCCAGGAAAGGTTCAGGCCTTGAGTAATAGGCACAAGGTGGGGCCTGGGACCCCAGAAGCAGGCAGAAGTTTGGTTTTTGGACTTGGGCCCCAAGGGGGGAAAGGAGGAAGGGCCTTTTTTGGTTTGCATTTAACTTGGGGTTTTTTGAACCCCCCCCCTTCCCTTTCGGAGGCCTTGTTTCGTTGTTGGCTTGCCCTTGGGCGGGGCCACTTTTTTTTGCGGTTGGGGTTGGGTTGCCCCCTTTTGGGGCCTGAGGGCTACAGGGTGGCTGGAGAGTTGGCCACAAAGAGCTCAAGAAGGGCTTGAAATCAGGGAGTGTTCCTGGTGGACCTAGACTTCATCTCATCTTTGAGGAGATGCAAAGGGCAAGTGGATACACAGGAGGGAAGGAGGGAGGTGTGTTGAGAGTAGAGCTGGTGGACGGGGGGAGAGGCTGTTGTAAGGTTGTATCAAAGGCACCTAGGAGGATGCCCACTTCCTCGTGTCCACTGCATTTGCATTCAGAATCTCCCCGTTTGAGAGCTGGCCAAGGTCATCATGATGGGCATTTTTTCTCACAGGGACCTGCTAATTTATCCCATTATAGCTATGCCTCCCCACTCTTCAAAGTCCTTAACAGAGAGGTCAACTCTGCTTCCTTTAAAGTCAAGCTGTAGGAAAGGTCCAGTGGATGGGGTGATGCCCCTTCTTTCCATTCCACCCCCCAATTTTCTGCACCCTAGTTTTCCGCTGAACTCACTGTTATTAATACCACCTGTCCAGTGTCACCCATTAGGGAAAGAGCATGTTAGCACAGATGGCTTTCTTGGATGAGTATCTTCAGGAAGCAATTCCACCTAGTACAGGGCCCAAAGGGGTGGGAGATTTGTTTTGGTGGAAAAAGGTATGGTGTCCTAGAAAGAGACAAGGCCCAGATTCTGGTCCTCATCATGCCGTTTCTCATTTCTTTATTCATGTAAAAGCTTTGCTCTTGTATTTTCTAAGTGCAAGACATAGACCCTGCCCTCAGGCTCTTTAAAGTCCAATAGTAATTATATGACAGTCATATGGACTTATTTTAGTACTTCTGTTTATTCAAGGAAAGGAGTTAAGGGAATGCAGGAGAAAAACTTACTCACTTTGATGGAAATCAAGACAGTCTTCATGGAGGAGTTAGTGTTTGAACTAGGCCTTGAAGGACAGGAAAGGACTGAACACCTCAATGCGTCATCTGGAACATGTTGCCTATCCATCCATTGTTGAAGTTTCTGTCTAGATCTGTAAATTGAAGAAATTTGAATCCAGATGTGTAAATGAATCAACTTTTAGTGGACACCTATTATGAGGCAGAGACGGAGCTAGATACAAGGGGTAGAAAGAGGGAGCAGATGGGACCTCACAGCAAACAGTCCCCAAAGACATCACAAAATGAAGCGTGAGGACCACTTACACAGCCCTCTGCTTACCACCTTCCGCCTTTCCCAGACATGACCCAATCTCTGTTTCAGGACCAAGGCCAGTGCTTCCTGGGGCTCACTGTAGGTTAGCCTACCCTGAGTTGTTCGTTAGTCTCTAGACATTTGCAGCATTTAAGCCTAGTCTTGAGATTTTTTACAGATGCGATAAACACCATCATGTCTGGTAAAGGCAAAAGCAGAGACTGGAAAGTTCTAGCAAGAAAAAGAGCGTGATTATGGAGGGAGTAAAAATAGGAATCATAAAAAAATGCTGGTGAACAGTGATAGATGCTGGGGTCTATATAGGATTATTTGATTGAAGAGGTGATTCTGGAGGGCAGAATGAACACCTTGTAGGCATGAAAGATGCCATGTCCCTGTGATTGTCACTCAGGAAGAATAATATCAACACTGTTGGAGCACTTGAGATTTGCCAGGCAGTTTCTGAGTGCTCTATTTATACATTAGCATGTTTATTCTTCACAAAAATCCCTGGGATGTGGGTGCTATTATTATTATCTCCTTTTTTATAGACACAGAACTGAGTCACACAGTGGTTGAGCAACTTGCCCAAGGTTATACGTTATAAAAAAGCATCCTTCCCTCCCTCCAGTGAATAGACAAGGTTAACATGCACTGATTCTGTCCTGCATGCCAGGTGTTGCTCTAAGCTCCCTCTATTTACCCATTTCTACGTAATTTTATTTTGTTTTCATTATAACCCTATGGGGTAGGCTCTAATTAAGGCTCTCACTCTGAGATTGAAAGGAGTTAAGTAACACGTCCATTGAGCTGGATCAGGGAAGCGAATCCAGCCTTCCTAATTCCAGAACCTTCTCTCACACAAGAGAACACGAAGGCAGTGGTGATGCTTATGGAGATGAGAAGACCAATCAGAGAAATTCTCAAGAGGTAAAACCCAAGTGTCTTTGTGGCTCAAGGCCCAGAACAGGGAGCAGCTGAGGCTTCTGTAGAATTTCTTCCCGCTCCCCCTCTCTGCTCCAGAGGGGTGCAGCTGTGGGGGCCCTGGTGAGCTGTCTGGGCTTTCGAAGCAAAGACTGAAGCAGCCTGGGATCCTGGAGGCTGGCTCTGGTGTGTGCCCAACTGCTGACTTCAGGCGAATTATTTTTACTTCAATAAGTCTGTTTCCTCATCTGGAAAATAGAGGAAATAGGATCTGCTTTCCACTTACTTCACGTCAATGTTTTTCAGATAAAAGACTGAGTTATGCAGAACACCATGACCCAATTGCTGTGGGGGAGAGCCCAAGCGTGAGTAACTGACACTGCAAATTCACTCATTCACTCACTCACGTGTTCAGTTATGAGATCATAGACTGCTACGGTGGCTCCTTCCATCAACTCCCCCAAAGCAAGAATCCCGTCCAAAGTGTCCCTGAGCTGCCCCTTGTGTGAACACCTCCAATGATACCTAAATGCTGACCTCACAAAGATACTCTTTCTGTTGTATAAGAAAAGGTGTCCATGGAGAAAGTTATCCTCCACTGAGCTGACAGTTGCCCCCTCAGTAGCTTTCTCCTCCTGCTCTTAGTTTATTCATTTTGGACATGACTATTCACCACCCACCTGGCCATGTGCTGGACACGGTGAAGGACCAGGAGAAGCAGCCACCCCCATCACCCTTGAGGATATTCTAACGAGGTCGAGGATATAGGATGAACATTCCTAAAGACTACATAACAAATGAAAAAAAAAAGTGTTATCAGAAGGCTGAGCCCTGTAGGGAGCCACGTGGAAGGTTTGGAAGGCAAATGACAGAGGGAAACAGGGGAAAGGGAAGGCGGCATGGACTGAGTGGCTGAAAGGACCTGCTGGAGGCAAAATTTCAGAAGAGTCTTAAAAGAAGAGTAAGATTGGGGCAGGCAGAGAGGAGGAGAGAGCACCCCAGGCAGGCGGGACAGTGGGAGCAGAGGGCAGGGACCAGAGAGCAGATAGGCTGTGCAGTCTGTCCTTCAGTGCCACCCCTGCAGGCTGAGGAGGACAAGGGTCAGACCCAGCATTTTCTCCAGATTTAAAGCATGAGAGAAAGCTAAGCAGATTAGACCGTGGGGAGCCTAGAACCACAGTTCCAGAGACTGTGATACTTAGTGGTGTGTGATGTGTCCAGTGGCTAAAATCTGGAAACCAAGGGTCACACTGGCTGGGGTGAATCCCTGCTCTTACCTCTGATAGCCTGTGGCCCGGGGCAGATTCCTTAGCATCTCTAAGCCTCTATTTTTCCATCTATAAACTGGAGTCAGTAATGGTGTCCTACTCACAGGGTTGCTGTGAGGATAAAATGAGAGACACATGCCGTTAAAATGCTTAGCACAGGTCAAGGCACATGTTGAGCCGTTAGTGAATGTGAACTGCTATCGCTTTTATTGATGTTTTCATTGTTTTCCCTATCCTCTCAGTAATGTGGAGCCACTAATCCTCTGTAAGCCTCGGGTTAGCATATTTTTCTTCCCAGTAAAAGCCATTTATCTTAGACTCAAACTGAGAGTCGGGCTATTCTCTTTTGATCGCTGCAGACCCCTTTCTGGCAGGAGATGGTAATGATCCAGGAAGTGGCCATGAGACCTCTCAGCTAAAGTAAAAAGGCAGAAACCAACAGGCCAGCGTGAGAAGTGTAGTCTCTCATTTCAGCTCTGCCGCTGACCTTGGGCGAGTCTCCTACCCTCTCTTGCCCCATTTTCCTTTTTTTTGCCAAGTGAAGGTTTCTGTCCTGGCCATCATTTAGGGCTGGCTCCTCTGCACTCCTGAGTCTGGCTGCACTCTCCAGCCCAGATACGCAGTCTGTGAGTCACTGAGGCTTGTCTCAATAGGAAGCATAATCATTATTTAAATGAACTCTTGTATTTATCTAGCACTTTTTACACTTCATGAAGCTTTCCCCTCTATTATCTTACCTGCATCTCATCACAGCCCCATGAGATAATCAGGGCAGCTGCTCTTATTCTCCTTTGAGAGCTGGGAAGACTGAAGTGTAGAAAGAAGTGAAAAGTCTATGGCCCCAGAGCTCAGAGTCTCTTGGGGTTTGGGCTTCCCATCCCTGGGCTGATTTCATTCCAGGAAATCTTGGGGAAAAAAACCAAAAACAAAAACATGTTATTTTGTAAATTGAAAGCTTTTCTTTTTCCAAGTGAAACAATCTATTTAATTTCTCCTCTAACAGCAATTTTTGTCCCTAATTCCTCTAAACTTTTTTCATTGTCGTTGCCAGAATTTCAGGTTGCTTGCAGTACAAACATTAATTTGACTAATGAGACTTGAAAACTATCTGATCACATTTTCCAGTTATTATTGCAACGTAGAAATTAAAGAAACATACAAAGAGTTCAATAACAAAGCAGTGTCAGGTATTTCCTCTTAGAGAAAATGTTGATAAAGGCTGAGACCTGTGGGTGGATGGGAAGGCTAGACAGGTGTGTACACCCATCGCAGAGAGTTGCGTTCAAATGTGTGAAAACATGATGAATACTTGAACACTTGAAATATTGATACCCTAAAACACAAGGTTTAAAAGTATGAAGCCTGGGAAACATGGAGCAGGTTGTGAGATGGGTCTTTGTCACTTACCAGGTGAATTATATGGGAGAGGTCATTTAACCTTCACTTTATTATCTTTTAAGTGGTGATCCTAAGAGCATCTACCTCACAGAGTTGGGTTGAAGATTGACTGAGGCAATTAGTTTAGAGTATCTTTCATAATGTTTGGAGCATGCTAAGCACTCAGAAAGATTAGCTGCCACTAATTTAGCTTAGGAGTGAGGACCGAGTACACCTGAGACTGTGCTTGTGTGTTAAAGTCCCCAGGCCTCTCCAGCCCAGGCCCCCAGCTGGGCTTCTGACCTCCACAGTGAACTGTCTGTTCGACATCTCTTACCAAAAGTCCTACAGGGACACCGATCTCAACAGGGCCGTCTCAAACTGGCACATCCCAGCTGTCTTTGTCTTCATCAGTAGCACTACTCTCCTCCCAGGTGCTCCATTAAAAACCTGAGAACAAGCCTAGACCTCTGCCTCTTTCCCTTGCTGCTCAACCCCACAGCCACCTGTCTTGTTAATTCCTAGACATCTTTGAACTCTTTCTATTTTCTTTGATGTCTACTGTTATCACCCTAGCTTAACAATCACTGCGTCTTATTTTTCCAAGGAAGACATACAAATGGCCAACAGGTATATGAAAAGGTGCCCAACATCACTCATCTTGAGGGAAATGTAAATTAAAATCACAATGAGTGACCTCCTCCCACCTGTTAGAATGGCTGTTACAAAGAAGACAAAAGATAACAAGTGTTGGCAAGGGTGTGGAGAAAAGGGAACCCTTGTATACTGTTGGTGGGAATGTAAATTGGTATAGCTGTTTTGGAAAATAATATAGAGGTTCCTCAAAAAATTAACAATAGATCTACAATATGACCCAGAAACTCCTCTGCTGGGTATCTACCCAGAGGAAATGAAATCAGCACCTTGTAGAGAAATCTGCACCTCCATGTTCATCACAGCATTGTAGCCAGTGATATGGAAACAGTAGCCAAGATATGGAAACAATCTAAGTGTCCATCAACAGATGAATAAGTTTTAAACATTGCAGTATATACACAGATACAATGGAATATTATTCAATCTTAAAAAAGAAGGAGATACTGCCATTTTCCATCTGACAGCATGGATGAACCTGGAGGACATTATGCTAAATGGAATGAGCCAGCAGCAGAAGGGAAAATACTGTATGATCACCCTTTTGTGTGGAATCTAACAAAAAAGTCGAATAAATAGACACAGAGAGTAGAATAGTAGCCCTCAGGGGTGCGGACTGGGGGAAATGGGAGAAGTAAGTTAAAGGGTACAAACTTGCAGGCATACAAGTCTAGAGCCCTAATGTACAGCATGAGGACAGTAGTTAATAATATGGTATCATGTCCTGAAAATTTGCTGAGAGTAGATTCTAAGTGCTCTTACCACACACACACAAACTGTGGGAAGTAATAGGCTAATTTGCTTAACTATAGTAATAATTTCACTGTGTTTCTCTGTATCAAAACAGCTTGTTGTACACCTTAAATATGCATAATGCAAACATTTTTAAAAAAGAAACCAAGGAAACAACAGTAAGAATCACCATGTCTCACTTGAAACTCTATCATGATGTCTCTTCTACCTTTCTGGCCTTCTTTAATTCATTTTTCACAATGAGCCAGATGGGATTTTGAAGTCTCAGGGCACTTATTTGTACCTTTGAAATCCATCCCCCCTTACACAATAGTGAGTTTCTGACCGGAGTCCTGTATATTTCAACATCATGTGCCACCTGTTCTTGCTCTTCCACTGTAGTTTTATTGCATGGCTCCAGGTGGATTTTTTGTTTGTTTGTTGTTTTGTTATATTTTTTAAATTAATAAACGTTATTTTTTTAGAGAATTTTTATGTTTACAGGAAAATTGAGCATATATGACCGAGAGTCCCCTATACACCTCCTCCCCACAGAGTTTCCCCAATCATGAACATCTTGAATTCGTGAGGTAAGTTTGTTAAAATTAATGAACCAATACTGATACATTATTATTAAATTGATAAGAACAGATACCACACTTGATCTTAGCCCAAAGGCTGATAAGGGATAATACATTATTAGTAACTAAAGCCCATACTTTATATTAAGTTTCACTCTTTGTGTTGTACAGTTTTGTGGGTTTGACAATGCACTGTGTTGTGTATCCACCATTATAGTATCACACAGAACAGTTTCACTGCATTACAATTCCCCAGGGCTCCACCTGCTCATCCCTCCCTCTCTCCCCACAAACCCCAGGAACCGCTGATTTTTGGATCGTCTCTATAGTTTTGCTTTTTAAAGAATGTCATTGAGTTGGAATAATACAGTATGTAGGATTTTCAAATTGACTTCTTTAATTTACCAATATGCATTTAAAGTTCTTCCATGTCTTTTTGTGGCTTGATGGCTTATTTATTTTAATTGATAAATATTATTACATTATATGGCTGTCCTCACAGCTTGTTTATTCATTCACTTTTTGAAGAATTCTTGGTTGCGTCTAGTTTTTGGAAATTATAAATAAAGCTGCTATAAAGATTCATGTGCAGGTTTCTGTGCTGGCATTAAGATCCTAACACATTTGGTAAATACCTAGGAGAATGATTACTGGATTGTATGTTAAGATTAACTTTGTAAGAAACTTCCATACTGTCTTTCAAAGCAGCTGTACCATTTTGCAATCCTACCAACAATGACTGACAGTTCCTTTTGTTCCAAATCCTTGTCAGCATTTGGTGTAGTCAGTGTTTTGGATTTTAGCCATTCTAAGAGGTATATAGTGGTATCTCATTTTTGTTTTAAGTTGCAATTCTCTAATGACATATGATGTGGAGCATCTTTTCATGTGCTCAGTTGACATTTGTACATCTCTTAGATAAAGAATCTTCAGAAATTTTGCTCATTTAAAAAATATGGTTATTTTCTTATTGATGAGTTTTAAGATTTCTTTGTATATCTTGGATAGAAGTCCTTTATCAGATGTATATTTTGTAAATATTTTCTCCTCTTCTATGGACTGCCTTTGCAATCTCTTAACAGTGTCCTTCACAGGTAGAAGTTTTTAATTTTTAGGAAGTGCAACTTGTCATTTTTTTCTGTCGTGAATCTTGCTTTTAGTGTTGTATATAGAAAGTCGTTGTCAAATCCAAGGTCATCTAGATTTTCTATGTTATCTTCTAGAATTTTTATGATTTTGCATTTTATAATACATTTAGATCTGTGATGCATTTTGATCCATTTTTGTAAATAGAGGAAGGTCTATGTCTAAGGTTCATTTTTTTGCATGTGGATGTCCAGTTGTCCCACCACCATTTGTTGAAAAGACTATCTTCTCACCATTGAATTGCCTTTGCTCCTTTGTCAAAGATCAGTTGTGTGTATTTGTGTGAGTCAATTTCTGGGCTCTCTATTTTGTACCAGTGATCTATGTGTCCATTCTTTCACCAATACCACACTGTTTTGACTACTGTAGGTTTGGTAAGTCTTAAAGTCAGATAGTGTCAGTCATCTGATTTTGTTCTTCATTCTAGGGTTTTTGACAACTCTAGTGCACACCTGTCATCCTGAAGGTTGACTCATAAAAATTTTTAATAAGCTTCACAAATACAAGAGTGGTAGGTGACGCTGGTTACCCATTCCATAGGAAAACTTCAAAAAGTTCTGTTTACTTCCACCCTGGCCAGGGATCAATATTTTCCCTCATACCTCGACTCTTACAAATGGTGTCTAATTTTTCTACCTCACCTTGCCCCAATCACTAGATGGCAGTAATTTACAAGTGTTTGTGACAGTTGGCCAGCAGGGGATGGGTTAGTGTGAGTGTCCATGTTTGTAGATGGCTCATCTTTTTTTTCCCCTTATACATGGGTTCCTCCCACCCATCTTCTCACTATGGATCAAGTCACCATTTCACTTTTAGGAATCTTCAGGTGAGAATTGGTTACTTTCTATGTATGCACATTCCAGCAATCCCCAGAGTCCTCCTGTCATCTCTACTCTTGTGGAGAACTGGGGAGAGGGCCCAAGTGCCTGCAGCTCAGCTAAGTGTCCCCCCTAGAGAGCAAGATGACAGCTCCCTTCCTGAAGGCACACCCAGCATCTCAGTGGAGTTCTTGTAGACATCTTCTTGCTTTCCTTTGAGTTGAAGTAATCTCCTCTCATGATGAGGATAGAAAAATTGCAACCACACTCTGCATGAGGCCAACAGTTTTCTCAAAATGTTAGTCTTCTCTCCCATGGGCTGGTTGGAATGACAAAGGTGAGGATTGAAGGATCAAGTCTTCTATCTTTTAGTAAGACCTATGAGAGGACATCTGGTAGTTTCTAGAAGGTGGGAATATTTTTATCCTATTGTTTTTAACTTAGGGCCTTTGGTCTAACATGGAGAGCACAAAGAAATGGCTGATTAATATCCAGTTACCTGTGTACATGCTCACCTGAGTTCCTTTCTCCAAACTCCCAAGTTTCTTACCCTAGCCTACCCAGCACACTGTCAGTCAAGCCCTGGCTTCCTGTTTAAACTCAGTATCTGTCACTCCCCTCCAGCAACTCTGCTCTAGCTGCACTTCTCCACGCTGTGGGCCATGCATGCCACGCTCACACTGCCTTCTCTCTGTCCCCTCTCCCTGGAACTCTGCTCCTTGAGGCTGTTACATGACTCCATTGCTCGATTCAAGTTCCTGCTCAGTGAGTCCTCTGCAGAGGGTCTTCCCTGGCCATCTTCAGCCACACCCCCTACTCTCTGTCCCTTCATCCTGCATTCACTATTTCTGTGTTCTGTAGCTCAGCATCTTTGAACATAAGCCCCATAAGAGCAAGCACGTGGATGTCTCATTCATATCTGTGTCTCTGGTGTCTTGAACAGTGCCTGGCCCACTTTAGGTGCTCAAGAAACCGCCGGTACATATTGATTTTACTAATTACTCTGGCAATGTTAATCAAATGCTAGCTATGGATCTAGTCCTTTGCTATCACTTCTGTATTTTATTTCTAGTACTTTCCAAGTCATTTCAATTCTTTGACAGAAATTACTACCATAAACTTGTTAAAAAGACCTAGCCCAGAGCTGATCACACACTAAGGACATGATGATATTTATGCATAGATTGATCTCTATTGGACCTTTGCTTTTAAGTTGTGCCCCTGAGCCAAGTAACACATATGCGATGTCTATATGAAGCCTATAGAATTAGAGGCTCTAGCAGCATTTAGTAAGACACTCGATACTGTACTAATTTTTCTCAGCTGGTTTTTATTTTAATTCATTCCAACATTCTCTCTTCTTTTGCACTCCCACTGCAGTGACTCCATTGAGCAGATGTCTGTATCTGAGCAGATGTCTTTGCTGAACTTTCTGAGATGACTCTGAACTCCCCAGAATCAGGGCTAATTCAGTCCATTATAATGTGTACAAAGAGTTACCATTTTCCTTCTAGCACATTCTACCAATCACTTGCTTATGTCCAATTTTGTTTTCTGCTGCATTGGGTAATTATGCAATTAAAAAAAATCATAGGGGCATAGTTTTCCTTTGCCCCCAATCCTTTTGACTTGAATAGGAAATTTCCAGCTTCACATACGTCTGGATTTTTAGGAACACCGCCTAATGGGGCTAATAACTCTTTTGACCTACCTTACTTCATGCATATGTGGGAGGAGTGAGAGGTGTAGGAATGTAGCTGGTCAGGATTAGGTGCTGGGTGCTAAGGGGCAGGAATCAGACTGAGGCATTCCTAACTGACTCAGCCAAGGGTACTGAGAACCAGAGAGCCACGTAAAATCAGAGAGTCATATAAAATTTAAACACCAGGCACACCAAGTCAGACCCCAAGCCCAGGTTTCCAGAGGCAGGGGCAAGGCAGGACCACAAAGCCAGAAATAAGAGCTTGCTTAGATGAGATGAAAGGGCAGAGGAGGTCGGAATGGAACTCAGGGTGTTTCCAAAACAATGTTTTTGGTCCAGGAGGTTCATAAAGAGAGAACATTGGGCCAAAACCAGGGAGAAGAATCACTTTTTTGGAAGGACTTTCACGTTTTCTTCAGTGTGGCCAAAACAGTGACACTGACATTTGAATCTTGATGTAGAGTTTACAAAGATTTTTAACATATGTTATTATATGTGACTAATTCTGCAAGTTCTCATTTTATAGCTGAGAAAACTAAGAAAAGCTATGCTTCTTGCCCAAAGTGACACAGCTAGGAAATGGTGGAGCTGGGATGTGAATAGAGTTGTATTTAGTTCGGAAGTTTGTTGTCTATTTACTCCAGAGGTATTTGCTTAGTGCTTACCATGTGTTGGATGCTGTTCTGGGTGCTTGGGAGATACCAGTGAATCAGACAGACAAGGCATCTGCCCTCCGGATCTGACATTCTCACCATTACAACCGTATCATCAGACCTTAATAAAAGGATTTTGATCCAATGAATAGAAGGTGACTGTCTCCTGCACAGTAACATAACATATCTGTTCATTAAGAAGATGCTTTCCAACTACAGTTTATAGTAACAAAAGCCAGCACGTATTAAAGATGCATTATGTGCTAAGCATTGCGAGACGTGCTTTCTATGCATTATCTAATTTGTCTTCACAACAACTCCCTGAGGCAGGCATTATCGTCATCATTTTACAGATGAAGAAACTGAGGCTTGAAAAATTTTTTAAAAATCATAATTGAAATAGCCAAATTGGTTTTTAATATATACAACCATCAGCAGTACATGAAAATGCCTATTTCCCTTTATAATGGCTATATTTCTTTTTTTAAATTTATTTCAGTATATTTAGGGGGTAAAAATGCTTCTCTGTTACATGGATCAATTTCACCTTGATGAAGTCTGGGATTTTAGTGTACCCATCACCGAAGTAGTATACATTGTACCCAATAGGTAAGTTTTCATCCCAAACTCCTCCCCCTTCTGAATCTCTCCCCCTCTGGATCTTCAGTGTCCATTATAACATCTGTATGGCTGTGCGTACCCATAGCTTAGCTCCCACTTATAAGTGGGAACATGTGCTATTTGTTTTTCTGGTCCTGAGTTACTTCACTTAAGACAATGGTCTCCAGTTCCACCCAAGTTGCTGCAAAAGACATTATTTCATTCTTTTAATGGCTGAGTATAAAGTCCAAAGTGTGTATGTGTGAGTGTATGTGTGTGTGTGTGTCTTTATCACATTTTCTTTATCTGTTCCTCAGTTGATAGCCATTTAGGTTGATTCCATATCTTTGTAACTGTGAATTATGCTGTGATAAACATATGAGTACAGGTGTCTTTTTGATATAATGACTTCTTTTCCTTTTAGTAGACACCAGTCGTGGGATTGCTGGATCGAATGTTAGGTCTACTTTTAGTTCTTTCAGGAATCTCCATACTTTTCTCGAGTAGTATACTTTTTTCCATAGAGGTTGTACTAATTATGAATGGCATTCCCACCAACAGTGTATAATCATTCTCTTTCACTGCATCTGCACTAACATCTATTGTTTTTTAACTTTTTAGTAATGGCCATTCTGACAGGGATAAAGTAGTATATCTCATTGTGGTTTTAATTTGCCTTTCCCTGATGATTAGTGATGTTGAACATTTTTTTTTTATACATTTGCTGGTCATTTGTATATCTTCTTGTGAAAAATGTCTGTTCATGTCTTTTGCCAACTTTTTAAATGGGGTTATTTATTTATTATTTTTGATGATTTGAGTTCTTCCTAGATTCTCAATATTAGTCCTTTGTCAGATGTATAGTTTGTGAATGTTTTCTCTCATTGTATAGTGTGTCTAGTTACTCTCTTGGTTATTTCTTTTGCAGTGCAAAAGCTTTTTAGCTTAATTAAGTCCCATTTATTATTTTTGCTATGTTTGCTTTTGGGATCTTAGTCATAAATTCTTTGCCTAGGCCAATGTTGAGAATACTTTTTCCTAGATTATCTTTTAGAATTTTTATGGTTTCAGGTTTTACATTTAAGTATTTATTCCATCTTGAGTTAATGTTTGTATGTGGTGAGAGATAGAGATCCAGTTTCATTCTTCTGCATGTGGCTATCCAATTTTCTCAGCACCATTTATTGAATAGGTGTGCTTTCCCCAATGTATATTTTTGTCTGCTTTGCTGAAGATGAGTTGGTTGTAGGTAGATGGTTTTGTTTTTGGGTTCTCTATTCTGTTCCATTGGCCTCTGTGTCTACTTTTATAGCAGTACTGTGCTATTTTGGTTGCTATAGCCTAGTATAATTTGAAGTCAGGTGATGTGATGCCTCCAGATTTGTTGTTTTAACTTAGTATTGCTTTGGCTATTTGGGCTCTTTTTTGATTACATATGAAATTTAGGATTGTTTTTCTAATCCTGTGAAAAATGGTGTTGAGTCTGTAGATTGCTTGGGAAGCATGGCCATTTGGATACCAGCAAAGGAAAAACAATTAATTACATACAAAGTCTCCTCAGTAAGATTAACAGCTAACTTCTCCTCAGAAATAATGGAGGGCAGAAGAGAGTGAGGTAACATATTCAAAGTATAGAAAGAAAAAAGACTATCAACTAAGAATACTTTGTCCAGAAAAACTGTCCTTCAAAAGTGAAGAAAGAATTAAGACATTCCCAAATACACAAAAGCTGAGAGAATTCCTTGCTAGTAGACATTCCCTGCAAGAAAACTCAGGGGAATTCTTCAAGCTGAGATGAAAAGACACTGGGATTGTAAACTGAACCCACTGAAAGAAAGAAATAAACTGATAAAAGTACATAAAAGACATTATAAATATATTTCTGAATTTCTTCTTCTCTTATCTGACTTAAAAGGCAATAACATAGGGTATATTGAATATATATATAATGATATAATTTGTATGACAATAGTGACACAGAGGAGAAAAGACATAATGCAACTGTATTGGAGCAAAGTTTTTCTATTCTGTTGAAATTATGTTGGTATTAATTAATCTGAACTGGAGTTTTTAAATTTAATATGGAGGATAGAGGGAAAAAGACATAAAACATGCAGAAAACAAAGAACAAATGGCAGACATAAATCCTAACTTATCAGTAATTACATTTGGTGTAAATAGACTAATAAAATATGATCAAAAGGCAGAGATTGGAAGAATTGATAAAAAAATGTGATCCATCTCTATCATGTCTTTAAGAGGCATATTTTAGATCCAAAGACACAAATTGGTTGAAAATAATAGGATGGACAAAAATATATAATGCTAACGGTACAAAAAAGAGATCTGAAATGGCTATACTATAATAATATCAGACAAATTATATTTTAAGACAAAAATTTTTACTAGAACAAATAATGATGTTTTAACATGATAAAAGAGTTAATTCATCAAGAAGTCATATCAATTATAACTATCTATGTATCTATCTATCCACATAATAATAGAGCCCCCAATACAAGAAACAAAACACTGACAAGATTGAAGGGACAAATAGGCAATACAACAATAATAGTTGTATACTTCACCCCACTTTCAGTAAGGGATAGTATAATTAGGCAGAAAATCAGTAAGGAAATAGAAGACTTGAACAACACTGTCAACCAATAGACCTAATGAATAGCTATAGAATACTGCACCTAACAAGAGCAGAATACAGTTGGCCCTCCTCATCCATTGGTTATACACCCATGAATTCAACCAACCATGCATCAAATATATTTTTAAAAAACAATTAAAAATAACCATATAACAACAAAAAATAAAACAAATAAAAACATGTATAATAACTGTTTACATAGCATTTACATTGCATAATTGACCCTTAAATACCATAGGTTTGAACTGCATAGGTCCACCTATATGTGGATTATTTTTCAACAAATACGTTGAAAATTGTTTTGGAGATTTGTGACAACTTGAAAAAACTCATAGATAAAGCACATAGCCTAGAAATGTTGAAAAAAAAATTATGAAAAAGGTATGTAATGAATACATAAAATATATATAGATACTTATCTATTTTATTATTTACTATCACAAAATGTGAACAAATCTATTATAAAACGTTAAAATTTATCAAAATATACACAAACACAGGCTGTACATGGTACTATTTGGGTACAGAGAAATGTAAACAAATGTAAAGATGCAGTATTAAATCACAACTGCCTAAAATTAACTGTGGTACATACTGTAGCATTGTAATAATTGCTCAGCCACCTCCTGTTGCTGTTGCAGTGAGCTCAAGTGATGCTAATTATCATCATACAGGCAGTTTTTCTCTCTAGTAAATTGTGTATCACAATAAAATGTCATCTCTTGCAGTTCTCTTGTATTTTTCATCATGTTAAGTGCAATACTGTAAACCTCGAATAACACCGTGGGACTCATATGAAGTGTTACTAGTGATCCTGGAAGTGTTCCCAAGAAACAGAGAAAAGTTATGACATTTTAAGAAAAAGCTGAATTGCTTGGTATGTACCATAGATAGAGGTCTGCAGCTGTGGTTGCCTACCATTTCAAGATAAATGAATCCAGCTTAAGAACCATTGTAAGAAAAAGAAGAAAAGAAAATTCTTGAAGCTGTCACTGAAGCTATGCCAGCAAGGTGCAGAAACCCTGTGAAATATCTTTTTATCTTATATTTCAAATGCAGCTTTTATGTGGGTTCAGGATTGCTATAAGAAAGGCATACCTATAGACTCAACTAAGACTTGAGAAAAAGCAAAGTCATTATATGACAACTTAAAGCAGAAAGAAGGGAAAGCTTTAAAGATGGAGAACTTAATGCCAGCAAAGGATGGTTTAATAGTTTTAGAAAGAGGTTTGGGGCCGCAAGCAGTGGCTCATGCCTGTACTCTTAGCACTTTGGGAGGCTGAGGTGGGAGGATTGCTTGAGGCCAGGAGTTTGAGACCAGCCTGAGCAACACAGCAAGACCCTGTTTCTACAAAAACCAGAAAAAACTAGCCGGGAGTGGTGGTACACACCTGTAGTCCCAGCTTCTTGGGAAGCTGAGGAAGGTGGATCTCTTGAGCCTAAGAGTCTGAGGTTGCTGTGAGCTATGATGACTCCACTGCACGCTAGCCTGGGCAACAGAGTAAGACCATAACTCTAAATTAATTAATTAATTAAATTTAAAAAGAAAGAAAGAAAGAAAAGTGGTTTGGCTTTTAAAATGTCAAGATAACAGCAGGAGAGGCAGTTTCTGTCCACTAAGAGGCAGTGGATGAGTTCCCAGATGCCATTAAGAAAATCATTGAGGAGAAAGGAGGTCTGCCTGAACAGGTTTTATTTTTTTTATTTTTATTTTTTTTTTGAGACAGAGTCTCGCTTTGTTGTCCAGGCTAGAGTAAGTGCCGTGGCGTCAGGCTAGCTCACAGCAACCTCAAACTCCTGGGCTCGAGCGATCCTTCTGCCTCAGCCTCCCGAGTAACTGAGACTACAGGCATGCGCCACCATGCCCGGCTAATTTTTTATATACATATCAGTTGGCCAATTAATTTGTTTCTATTTATAGTAGAGACGGGGTCTCGCTCTTGCTCAGGCTGGTTTTGAACTCCTGACCTTGAGCAATCCGCCCACCTCGGCCTCCCAGAGAGCTAGGATTACAGGCGTGAGCCACCACGCCCAGCCGTGAACAGGTTTTTAATGTAGAGAAAAGTGTCCTATTCTGAAAAAAAAAAAATTGCCACAAAGGACACTTATCAGTGTGGAAGAGAAGTGAACACCAGGATTTTAGGCAGAAAAACATAGGCTAGTTCCATTGCTTTGTGCAAATGCAGGAGGGTTTATGATCAGGACTGCCCTTGTCTATAGAGCTGCTAACCCCTGAGCCTTGAAGGGGAAAAATAAACACCAGCTGCCATTCTTGTAGTTGTACCACAAGAAGGCCTGGACAACGAGAACCATTTTTCTAAATTGGATACATTGATGCCTTGTTCCTGAAGTCAGGAACTGCCTTGCCAAAGAACTACTTTGGCAAAGTTTTTTTGATAATAAACAATGCCTCTGACAACCCAGAACCCCTGAGTTCAACACAGAGGATGTCA